TATATATTTTTTTTTTCCATCAAGTTTAATTTATTTTTTATAAAATATAAAAAAAGTGGAATAAATTTGCTGGACGGAAAAAATATATTTATAAATTTGAAAACAACATTAGTAATTAGATATTTATGATTTTGAAAACAACATTAGCGAATTTGAAAATAACATTAGAAAGTATATTTATAAATTTGAAAACAACATTGTTAATTTATACTTTTAGGGTGTGTTTATTTGGGTGATTAAGGTGCATAGTATAACAATTAATTAATTATTATTATGTATATAATTTTTACACAATAAATAAATAATAAATATAGTTAAATAAATTTTAGATTGAAATTAATATTTTTTGAATAAAACTACAATTTTAAAAATTTAGAAAATAAATAAATGTAAACTAGCAGTTTAAATCGGAATCGGCGATTTTTTTTATCAAAAACGTCGGTTTTCAAACTGTAACCAAAATCTTGATTCGAAATGTTCAGTTTTGATTAAGTATTTAGATAAATCGAAACTGGTAGTCTCGAACCATAATCAACGGTTCAAACAGTTTGGACAAGTCTAGCTGCATCTTGTCCTCTCCTCTCATTCTTTCTCAATTACAAAGTAAGGGTGATCAGCGTCCCCTTTCTTCGTCTCTCTAGGTTTGTTAGTTTTCGGACTCAGAATTAAACAAAATTCGCACTGTTAATCCAAAATGATAAGACAAATCAACTAGTGATATTGTTATGTCCATTCGAAGTCGTTTAGAACCCAAAAAACAGTAAACGTTAAAAAAAAAAAACTATATTTAGATTTGGAATTGAAAGAAATTTGTATGTTTCATCCAAAACGACTAAAAATCCTAAATGCAAAATTTATTTTTAAAATTTGAATTAAATAGAACTTACATGGTTTATTGAAACGACCAAACAAAATGTAAACCAATTTTTTAACTCGCAATTAGATGAAATTTGTTCAATTTATCTGAAACGACAAAAGGGTTCGAGCAATACTTTTTTGTCATTTCAAGGTCATTTTGAGCCTTCGAAATTCTAAACACTAAAAAAATATAAATCAACTTCTAAAAAAAGAATTAAACAAAATTCGCACGGTTAATCAGAAACGAGCATATGAATTAACCAACTATTTTTTGGTATTAGTCTAAGGTTGTTTAAAAGCCACAAAAAGCCAAAAAACTATAAAAAAAAAAAAAAAAAAAAAAAAGTAATTTTTAGACTCGGAATTGGATAATTAATTTTTGTCTTTTAATTGTCACCCTGAAAAAATATATTTCAAATGTATCACCTTTTTTGCTATTTTTTCCTATAGTCATGCATTAAGTTAATGACGATGTCGGTGCGAGTGAGAATGTGCCACGGAGGATGAAAAAAAAAAAAAAAAGAGACACATATAGTATTTTGAATTTATTTTCGGATCTTTTGAATTTGTCGAACAATATCTCGTATACAAAATACGAAATGAATTAGCAAAAGCAAATTCAAAGAAAACTCAAATTAAACTAATAACAAAATCGAAATGAAATGATCACATTAAACTAAGGCTAAATACTCAAACTGGAAAAGAGATTAAAACACAAACAAACAGGACCCAAAAATTAGGCAATGCAATCGACACATAGGACTTGAATTGCAATTCCTTGTTTGTGTCTATTTTCTGAAATTAATCTCATATTCATCGCGCAGCCCTTATCCTCCACCGCTAAAGACGACATAGATAGACAAATTAAATCAAGCAAGCAGCAGCCTGCTTCGTTTTGTGATCCAAGCCGTGACGATCGATGACGGACTTTTAGCGGCGAAAACAGCCGCTTCAGGCGAATCTCCAGGAGGCGGACAATGGCGGCTCCGGTCATCTTCCTCAAGCGTCCGGCGAAGATGCAGCCAGCAACTCCGGCAACCAGCTCCCTGCGGTCGACTCCTCTGAACGCGAACAACACTAATTCAACCTCAAATAGCGTCGACCAGCGACGAAATCCTCCAATTTCTGACGGCGAATTCTCGATCTCTTCCTCCGATCTTTCTTGATCTTTCACCGGTGAAGGAACGACGATTTTCGGCTCAGTCCATGGTGTGACAATGGCCCGAGGTAACCACGCCTCAAGGTGGAGTTCGGTGCGTCACTCTAAGCCCCAACTCCCATCGGAATCGGCCATCGGAAAGGCTTCTCACTCATCGGAAAACTCTCGTCAGAACTCACTTAAGAACTTGCCAGTTCCCTCTCCCTCATTCTCGATTCTCCTCTCAATCTCGAACCTCACCGGAAACACTCGCCTAAAACCATTGGTTTTCCTCTCCCTCACTCTTTCGGTCTATCTCTCTTCCGGTTCACGGTTGGATGGAACGATCATCACCGACACACCCGAAAACCAATTCTCTCATATAAACTTAATTAACTTCCCCAAAACTAACATAATAAACTAACCAATGGACTGGGCTTGGGATTGAGATTGTGTTGGGTTAAAAAAGGATTGGGCCGATCCGGTGAGCCAGGCTAAGGAATGGACCTAACTTATTTTATTTACCGAGGGATTTGTTGGGTTAGGCCTCAAACGGCCAAAATTTTCAACAATCTTCACCTATTTTGTTTGTGATTTAACCAAATCTCAAATACGTATTATTTACTAGATATAGACTTATCTTGTACCAATAGATTTCATCATCGTCTTTTGTCCCTTGCTGCATCCACGAACAAATGTTATGCAGACAATATATATCACACATAGACCACATAAGTCCTAACATGCAACTAAATTGATCACACAACAACCTTGCACTTAGTACACATAAACTACTACAAAAACAAGCATACAAGCAAGTCTAAATATATTGAACAGAATGAACCTACAGATTCTAAGCGAGCAAACAAGGTACAACACAATCCAGCAACATACATGCATATTCACAAAGGAAACGCAACAACATGTTGAATACAAAACTTAGAATCACGTAACAAGAGCTTCACCTTATCTAATATCAAGTACAGAATGCATAGGCACACAAAACAACATAGGCATATAACTCTATACCTTAGACATACAACTCTACAGTTTAGACACACTACTCTACAATTTAGACACATTATTTTATAACTTAGATACACTAGTCTACAACTTTGACACACTACTCTATGACTCAGACACACTACTCTGCAAACTTAGACACACTACTCTACAGCTTAAGTACTCGGCCTTACAATTCAAATATGCAGCCCTACAACTTAACTACGGAATCCTATTGTCTAAGTATAAAGTCCTACAGCCTAAGCGCAAAGCCCTATAGCCTAAGCATAAAGTCCTACAGCCTAAGCGCAAAATTCTACAACCTAAGCATAAAGTCCTACAGCCTAAACACAAAGTCCTACAGTCTAACCACATAAAACTCACAGCTTAAGAACAAATATACAGGCTCGATGACCACAAACAATCAAATAAGGAGACAATATGCTTTAATCAAACAATAACAACTATTCCACAAAAACATGCAATCTGAGTAACAAGCATGATCAACAAATATCAATGCTAGTATCTATCACATATAGAACACTTAAGAATCACATCAGCAAGACAATCCACATAATAGGATTACATCAGGAAGTCAATTCACGTAATGCCAATTAAACAATCAAATTGCAAAGGTCTCAAGGAATATATGCAACTCATCACATAGTAAACAACATCATGCATCAAAGTATTCATAAGTTTCTACAATTAGGTCTAATTTTAGCATCTCATGCTTATTTTCAACTAATTCTTCACAAGAAAAATGCAATTTGATTTTCAACACTTCGAATTTTATTGTTCTCACAAAGAACCTATTAGGGGTGAACATTCGGATTTTCGGTTCGAATTTTGCTAAATTCGAACTGATCCGAAAATCCAAAATTTTTGAAAAAATCAATCTGAACCGAACCGAAATAATCGAAATCCGAAATCCGAAAATCCGTAATCCGAACTGAAAAATCTGAACTAAAATCGAAAAATCCGAAATTCTAAATATTTTTTTTATTATTTTTTATTTTTAAATTTCTTTTATATTTTATTATTATTTTATAATATTAAATATATATATAATATATAAAAATTAAATATATTAAAATATAATTAATAATTTGAGTTTTTTATATTAAAATATAATATTTTCTAATAAAATATTAAATATATATAATAAAAAAATATATTAAAATATTATATTTCGGATTGGTTCGAATTTTAAGTATACGGATCCGATCCGATCCAAAAATTTGAAATTTGTTAAAAATTCAATCCGATCTAATCCGAAAATCCGAAAAATCCGAAACAAATTTTAAATTTCGATTTGGTTCGAATTGAATTTTCGGATTTCGGATATTTTGTTCACCCCTAGAACCTATAGAGGAAAAACTAAGCAATCACGTAGCATACAAATTAAGAATCTAATACATGCGTTTCAATTATTTCACTAAGGAAACACATAATGCAACAAAATCATTTTATTCTTGATTATCCTTCAATTTACAATTTTTTTAGGCATTTTTCAAACAATACCTAACATGCATTTTCTATCTCACACGAAAATATCAACATGCATCCAATAATTGTCTATAGAAATTCAAATTCTCAATACTAAAAAAAAATATAGCCCAAGAAACTGCATAAGAGAAATAACCAAGGAATCAAAAATATTTTTCAAAAAAATTTATTAAAAAATACAAGAAATTACGACAAATTCCAAGATTATTCAATCAATCACAAAGAAATGCATAGCCAATTCACACAAGAAATTTCAACATATTATCAATCACAATTTCACTAAGAAACATGATATACCGAAAATAAAGAAATGAGAGTTTAGTCTTTTATCACTATTCGAGTCCTACCAAACTTGAACCAAATTTTCTTTCAATTTTACGGTCGGTTGATCACTAGGGCTCTGGTACTACTATTGTGAATTTATTCTCGGATCTTTTGGATTTTTCGAACAATATCTCGAATACAAAATACAAAATAAATTAGCAGAAGCAAATTCAAAGAAAACTCAAATTAAACTAATAACAAAATCGAAATGAAATGATCACATTAAACTAAGGCTAAATACTCAAACTGGAAAAGAGATTAAAACACAAACAAACAGAACCCAAAAATTAGGCAATGCAATCGACACATAGGACTTGAATTGCACTTCCTTGTTTGTGTCTATTTTCTGAAATTAATCTCATATTCATCGCGCAGCCCTTATCCTGCACCGCTAAAGACGACATAGATCGACAAATTAAATCAAGCAAGCAGCAGCCTGCTTCGTTTTGGGATCCAAGCCGCGACAATTTATGATGGACTTCTAGCGGCGAAAACATTTGCTTCAGGCGACTCTCCAAGAGGCCGACGACGGCGGCTCCGGTAATCTTCCTCAAGCGTCCCGGCGACGATGCGGCCAGCAACTCCAGCAACCAGCTCCCTATGGTCGACTCCTCTGAACGCGAACGACACTAATTCAGCCTCGAATAGCATCGACCAGCGACCGGTGAAGGGACGGCGGTTTTCGGCTTAGTCCATGGCGTGAGAATGACCTGTGGTAACCACGCATCAAAGTTGAGGTCGGCCAAAATTTCCAACATATAGGATATATTTTTGCAGAATAATAATTAAAGGACAACAATGATAATTGGTTATAAATTAGAAATACTTATTGCAATTTTATTTATCTTGGTAAGTGATTCCAATCCAACAAAGACGAAATGGTTGGATAAAAATAAAACAAAAAATGAAGAAAAAAATAACATGGAGAATACCAACAAAGGGGAACAAGACTAATAGAGAAAGAACAAGGATAAATGTAAGTGATTCCAATCCAAGAAAGATGAAATGGTTGGATTCAACGATGGGTAAAAATAAAACAAAAAATGAATAAGAAAAAAATAATATGATAAATGCAAATGTGTAGAACAAACCTGTGGTTGTGTAGCTTTCAGATATTAGCGGTTGTTATTTTATTTTATTTTATTTATTATGCAATATTACATATATAATTAAGTTTGATAACTCCAAATATTAGCCTATTCTTTTCTTAACAAAAATGTGTATTACTTGAATTTCAGTGTGAAAACCATCACAATATCTTATTATGGCATACTTTATTGATTTATTCTGCTCGGCATGATCCATAATTGTTTTTTCGAGATTATTAACATTTTTGGCATTTTTAAACGATGATTCTGGTCCAGAAAAACTAAGTCATGAAAGTTAAGCGACGGCGCTGACCGCTCAACAAGCGACGCCTTTCTCGCTCGAGCCAGCGCCAACGACTGGACATCCACCGCAGCGAAGCGAGAATGAACCGCCCCAGGAAAATACCTAAGTGTCCAACTCACAGCGGTAAAACCATTCCGTTACCAGCCAGCAAAGATAGCTCCGCTTAGCTGCGTTGATGCCCTCCTGTCATTTGGACAAGCGAGGAAGGTCTGCGCTCCTACATACCAAAGCAAGTGAAGCGAGCGCCCTGGGAGTTATGACTAGTACAACTGCTTCAACAAAATAACCGCTCCCAATTTGCCTAAATGCTCAGCGGTTGAAACAACTTCTCAAATGCTCGCAACTGTTGTCTCATCCAGCTATAAATAGGGCCAGATATCTCTTGTAAAAATATACTTCGACAGGAGTATACACTTGTACTTGTTTTAGTAATTCTCAGCCTTCCTGCCTCCCGAGAGCTCTAACCCTAAGGGAGTTCTTAGCAGGAATGGCCAGAGGAGTTGAGATTTTCTCCTTCTCTAGCCGTTCACTTTACTGCTTTAAGTCTACAATTTTGGTTTACAGCTTTTGTAATGTTTCGTTATGTAGATCTTTACTGTTTTCCTTAGTAAGTAATGGAATATGAAATTTTCTTCATCATCGTTTTTTCCCCATTTTCACATTTGTATAAGTCCGATTAATAGAGAATTTTGAGTCATTGAGAATGAATATAGAAGAATCAATTATCTAAGCCTTGTTTCGCTTCGTATTCATTAACAGATTCTGGGTAGTTCAATATAGTTAAGTACGCGAAAGCCTTGTCGACCTCCTTAATTACTAATCTGAATTTGATTTTGATTAAAAAGAGGTAACATAAGGGTAAAATCCACTAATGAGACAACAATTAGAACAATTAAAGGGGCATAGACGTTTGTCTATCAGGTCACAGAAATGTCTAGTGACAGTAGCATTTCTTACTTATAATTTTTTAATTATGGGCGTTATTGAAGTATTGTTGTAAATCTCTTAAGGTCAAGTATCAGCGGTTTAATTTATGTACAATTCTGCTTATATGATTACATTCACATCTCATATCGCTTTCATGTTATACATATAATCTCCGCTTATGCACGACCATCATTCTCTCATTTCATTCATGAAAAACTAGTAATTAAGTAACGCACAGATCACACACAACATCCTCTAGCCGCTCCCTATCGCTTATTATATATATACACATACTGCGCTCATCTTCCCCGCTCACCTCCGCTCACAAACCACTGTCACTGCCCCTATCGCTCACCCCGCCACTCACTTTTACTGGTTTTCTTAAATTCTGTTTTTATCTGCTTTAGTTCTTTGGCTCTCTCACAAGCGAGCCCCCTTATGTTCATCTCGCCACTTTTCACTAGTCAATTCTTGATAAATTTTCGTGACTTAAAATCCATGTGTTCGATTTTGAAACTTACCAGCTAAAGAGTATAAATAATTGTGATAACAATTCCGGGTCTACAACTACATTTTTTTTTACCTATATATGACCATCCACAATAGCTCATTCACATTAATTTCGATACAAATTTCCTGTAATTAAATAATCTTAAAATCGCTTGTCATAATTTGGCGCCGTTGCCGGGGATTTTAAACTCAAGAAATAAAGTCTTGAATAGATCTAGTGATGCGCCATAATTTATATTTAAATTTTTGCAATTTTGATTTGTTGTTTTTGTATTTCTTTTACTGCGTTTTTAGCTTTTTATCAGGTGTGGCAATCTTAATTCAGGGGTCCAAAGCGTTTTCAGCGTTCAACCAATCCCACTTCTTCTTATCGCACACAGAGATGTTTGTTTAGAGAACTGACTAGAGATCGAATCATGGCCAACCAAGGAAATGCCATTGCCCCTTCCACTGTTGTTCCAAATTTCCAAACTGCCGCTGGGACTTCCTCAAATTCTGCCACATCCGCATCGTCGCAGGAGGTGCCGCTCTAGATCCCCATTGTAGTCTAGCCACTTGTTATTCCCCACGTCCTAACAACTACCGAGGAGCAGCTTGTTAGGACTCTGACTAGCATTCAGCACGGAATGGCTGGAATGCAAGCGCACCTCGCTCGAGTTGAGCAGGCTCAAGCCGCTCAGACCGCGTTCATCGCATCCCAAGTGACTCAAGCAACTCAAGCTGCTGCGACTCCCACTACCATCGCTCCCCCTCCATCTACTGTTGAGCCTAACTAGAGGCAATAGGGACAAAGGGCTGCTGATTGCCCGCTTGCTGAAGTCCCGATGGACGTTCACTATCAGTCCCTTCTGGATAGCACCTTAATTACCAGTTCTGAGTTCTGCGTCCAGAGGCTCTGGGAACTATGAGGTGAAGCCTGGTAAGCCTGGCCAGCCAGGGCAAATTCCATGGGCCGCTCAACGAAAGCCCCTATAAGCACCTGCAGAACTTCAATAGGATAGCCGCCACCTCCAAATCACACGACATCACGGATTATGCTGCGAAGCTAATTCTGTTTCTATTTTCTCTCAAAGAAGAGGCACGGAAGTGGTTTGACAACCTCTATCCCACTCCTGTCACTTTCGAGGAAGCAATGCAGGCCTTCGTGAGCAAATATCATCCTGTTTCGAAGACCATCAACCAGAGGAATGAAAGATTGAGTTTCAAGATGGCTGATGAGACCGTGCCTAAAGTTTGGAGCCGTTACAAGCAGCTGCTCCGTAACTGCCCCCATCACAAGATTCTTGACTCTATGGAGCTCCAAATCTTCTATTCAGTGATCACTCAAGAGTAGACGATGTCTCTGGACGCAGCAGCGGGTAGCTTGCTTATAGGATGTTGCGCTTCAGAAGCGATGGCACTTATTGAGAAGATGGAGGCCAACCAAACCAGTGGGCCAAAGACCAACAGGCCAGAGCCATCTAGGGGTCTTTACTAGGTTCCTGCTACAGTTTCACAGGATGCTAGGATTGACAGTCTGATGGTCCAGATCAAAGAGCTAGCCAAGCTCGTAAAGCAGTATCTATCTGGTAATAAAGGAAAGCATGTAGTAAGCGAGGCCGTGGGAACAGAGGAGTGGGCCTATGTAGACCAATCTAGCCCATAGGTCGCTGAGAGCTCCGCTGAGCAAACTCAGAACCCAGCAGAGGTCTTTTACATGGCGAACAGAAACGCTCCTCAATTTCAGCAGTTTCAGAAGGGGCAACCCTAAAGGCCTGTTGGACCACGTCCTCAACAACAGTTTCAACAGCCGCAACCATTTGTTGCACAACAATACTATCAAGGGGGATATTATCCACAACAACAATATTTTCAGACCCCTCATTTTCTGCAGCACGCACCTGTTTTCGCTCAACCTCCCACAGCGGCACAAAAACCACTGAATCTGGAGGAGCTATGGAGAAATATTGAACAGGAAAATCAGGAGTTCCAACATAATACATCTGCCTCGATCAAGATACTTGAGATTTATGTGGGGCAGATAGCTGAAGCGATGAAGCTGAAGTAGAAAGGAACATTGCTTGGGACAGTTGAGACTGTCCCGAACAAAGCGAAGGCAGTTGAGACAAAGGGTGAAAAGTGGACACAATCGTCACCACTGCCAGACAGAGGTACTAATCTCTTTTTTAGCCCTATTATTGTTAATTTACCTGTGCAGGATGAGAACACCCAAACACCAAATGAGAAAGAAAATCCATTCCAGCCACGAGCGATACCAGGCGCTTGGGTACCTGAACAGATTGAGAAAGCCCCAACCTAAGTGATAGCTAGGGCCCCTTTCCCAACCAGGCTTCGGAAGAAGGACAATTCCAAGGAATTTGAGAAGTTTGTACATATTTTCCGTAACCTTAAAGTCAGTATACCTTTTTTTATGCTTTATTGCAGATGCCACATTAAGCTAAGTTCATAAAAAGATATTATCAATCTTATGTCTTGTAGTAAATTAGGGCTTTATGAGCTTGAACCATGCAGAACTGTAATACAACTTGCCGATAAATCAATAAGACTCCCGAAAGGGATTATGCATGATGTACTAGTGCAAGTAAAAAAATTTATTTTTCCTATAGATTTCATAATAATGGAAATGAGCAAAGATCGCAAAATTCCTATAATATTGGGGAAATATTTCCTTGCCACCGCTCAAGCAAACATCATCGTCGCTTAAACGAGATAACATTGAGCATATGCGGAGATAAAGTCACATTTTCCATGAACAACGCCGCCAACCTCAAGAAGAAAATAGTGATTATATAAATGAATTCAATGAATTAATTGCTCTTGAGAACTGTTTAACGATTGAACTTCTGGAAGAAATTTTAGAAAAAAGATTCGCTCGAACTGGAGCATTTCGTGGACTCTGGTGAGTGAAGCGACGACTTATCAACTCCCACCGAGTCCATTGAAAAAGCAAAGCGAGAACTAGAGAGCGAACCCAAGACAAAGGACGAGTTGAAGAAATTACCTGAGCACCTCAAGTACATATACCTTGGCCTGGATAAGACTTACCCGTTGATAATCTCCGCCTCACTATTGCTTGGCCAAGAGGCTCAACTCGTCTCCCTTCTCAAAAGAAGAAAGACGACTTTTGCATGGACAATCTCTTACATCAAAGGATCAGCCCAGCGGTGGGTATGCACCATATAAGGCTGGAAGCTGAAGTGAAGCCATGCAAATAGCCTCAGTGACGCCTAAAC